CGAAAGGTGGATTATTTTATAGTCCCGGGGATCAGAAGGTGATCATTAGCACGAACACTAGATTCTTGGAAGAAGACTATATTATGAATCATAAGCCCGCGAGTAGACTAGTTCCAGAGGAGTTAAGGAGTGAAGTCGATAGTTCCCCACCAAGTGCGCAAGTAGATACATCACATAATACTACAACATGGCATACTAAGAGTGTACCAGTGCAGACAGTACCTCGTCATAATGAGAGGGTTTCTCATTTTTCTGACCGATGGATAGGTCTTGGAGAGTCATCGGACTCAGTTCTAAAAGACCTAGAATTGGACCCAAGGACCTACAACGAGGCACTCCAAGATAAATATGCAGATTCATGAAATGTTGCGATGAAAGCTGAAATGGGGTCAATGGACTCCAATCAGGTTTGGGATCTTGTAGAACCACCCAATGGAGTACGACTCATTGGATGCAAATGGGTCTATAAGAGAAAGAGAGGATCGGATGGGAAGGTGGAAACCTTCAAAGCTAGGCTTGTTGCGAAAGGTTATACCCAGAAGGAGGGTATTGATTATGATAAGACCTTTTGGCCAGTAGCTATGCTTAAGTCCATTCGGATTCTCTTGGCTGTAACCGCCCATATAGATTATGAGGTCTGGCAGATGGATGTGAAGACGGCTTTCCTTAACGGAAACCTTCAGGAGGACATCTATATGCAGCAACCAGAAGGATTCATTGCTAAGGGACATGAGCATCTACTGTGTAAGCTTAATCGGTCTATTTATGGACTGAAGCAAGCTTCGAGATCTTGAAATATTCGGTTCGATGAGGTGATCCAGTCGTACGGGTCCACTCAATGTCCGGATGAGCACTGTGGGTACAAGAAAATCAGTGGGAGCGTGGTGGTGTTTCTTGTGCTTTACATAGATGACATACTTCTCATTGAAAACAGTAATAAGGAGTTATCAGATGTAAAGGTGTGGTTGTCTAAGCAGTTTGATATGAAAGACTTAGGTGAAGCATGACACATTCTTGATATTAGGGTCATTCGAGACCGTAAGAAGAGAATGTTGTTCTTATCCCAGTTTGCATACATAGATACTGTCTTGGCCAGATTCAGCATGCAGGATTCCAAGAAAGATATGTTACCTTTCAGAAGTGGAATCAGTCTATCCAAGGAGATATCTCTTAAGATGTCTCAAGAGATAGAAGACATGAAGATTATTCCTTATGCTTCGGCAGTAGGAAGTCTTATGTATGCGCTGTTGTGTACGAAGCCGGATATTAGCTACGCCATTGGCATGGTAGCTAGATATCAATGTAATCCGAGATGGGAACATTGGTCTGCGGTGAAACATATACTCAAGTACCTGAAAAGGACTAAGGAGTACATGTTAGTTTACCGTGCAGACAGCTTGTTAGCTCTGGGTTATAGTGATTCCAATTTCCAGTCAGATATAGACGATAGTAAGTCAACCTCAAGTTATGTGTTTATCTTGGGAAGTGGAGCCATTTAATGGAGGAGTGCTAAGCAAAAATGCGTGGCAGACTCCACCATGGAAACCGAGTACATAGCAGCCTCAGAGGCAGCTAAAAAGGCAGTTTGGCTTAGAAACTTCTTAGTGGACTTAGAGGTGATTCCGAGTTTGCCATGTTCTATCACCGTGTACTGTGATAACAGTGGAGCAGTAGTGAACTCAAGGGAACAACGAGCTCACAGAGCAAGCAAACACATAGAGCGCAAGTACCATCTGATGCGAGATATCGTTGGTAGAGGAGACGTTGATGTTGCCAAGATTGCATCAGAGGACAACCTAGCTGATCCTTTAATGAAGAGTTTGTCGGGGAAGGTCTTCGTTAAACACGTGGAAGGAATGAGAGTCAGGTGTATGGCAATAGGATCGACATAGGTCTTTTAGAATAATGAATTGATAGGACTATATTTGTAAAAGTGAAAGCTTTAAGTATAAATGAGAGATTGTTAGTGTTATATATTGAAAGCTTTGCTTTGGATGGCATTACACTTTTACACACCCTTTATGAATGAGAATCATGTTAGATTAAACAAGTTTTATGTTCTGTTATTTTGCACTTAGATAGAATGGGTCGTCATCAGGCAAACAGAAGATCATTCTATCAGTTACTTGCGAAACAAGAAATGTGGTTCACAACCTAAATGGAAATGAACATTTCATCCGAACGGTTGTAGTGTCATCGGTACAGTTGGTCTTGACTAATTAAGTTGCACTAGTACATTTATGTATAGAACAGGTTCCCAGAAAGGAGAAGTTCGTTTTATACTAATCGTCGTAAACGAACTAGGTCTCAGTTAATTACTGCGTTCTCTTAACCCTTAAGATATTAAGCAGGCATATATATGTAGTACATATTACTTTGATTCACTTGGGTGATGTTCAGTTCGCTGAATTAATATTCCTACTGTCTTGGGCAATATTGTTGTATGTATGATGTGTTGTTAGGATATTTACGGTCACCATGTACGTTAGTTTGATGATGTCCCCGAAGTGAGTTCATGAAGGATTGATATGCTAAACTCTGCGGGTGGATTAAATTCTGGCATAATAATAATGTCATGGACGAGCACTAGCTTCGGTGAAATAATAATATATTAATTAATTCTTGATTGTCAGTAATCAAATTAATTCGTGGACATTATATCTTAAACGTGGGGAGGTAAATTTGGTAATTATAATTGGAGTCTCAAATATAATTTGGTCTAGGAAAATGGAGTGCAATAATATTACGTTAGTGGACTGTAATATTATTTAATTAATTTGAAAGAGTGGGCTTGGCCTACAGTTAGTCCAATTAATTAAAAAGCCCTATTCTTAATCTCATAAAGATCCCTACTGTAGCTCTATATATACATCATTAAGCTCATGAGAAGAGAAGAGATCTGTCACAAATAACAGACACGCACGTCCGCTCTCCTCTTTCTCTCTCTCTCTCTCTATCTCTCTCTCTCTCTCTCTCTCTCTCTCATTTCTCATTCGAGCTTTATCTTTTGCTTGCTCCACCGGTACAAGTTATAGAGGTACGTGAATAATACAGTAGAAGATCTAAAGGTAATCGAGACCTGGTGATCTTCCACAACTATCGACGATCCACGACCCGAAGTCGAGGACCGCCGACTGCCGACCAGCGGGACCGCCATCAACCCCAGTCGGACCACCGCCGTGAAGAGCCGCGACGACCGATGACCCAATCGCGACCAATCGACGCGACACGACCAGCGAGCCTGACTCCACACGATCCGCGACGCACGAAACAAGTCGACTAGCTTCCGTTCGTGTGATCCAGATCCGTTCGTGTGCTGTTCCTGGTCATCCCGAATTCGACAGATTAGAAAATTTTAAGCCGTAAGTTGTCTACGTCAAACCTTTAGATCCGTTGTGCATAGGTTTACGTTTGCTATTGAATTCGTGACTTGTACATAACGAGATCCTCACAGATCCCAACAGTTTAACCCAGTGGTAGGTCGAGGGAGTTTACTTGGAGCAGTTCACGGAGTCAGGTTATTCAGGTCGATGGTTTTATTTGGTCTGGTATTGTCGAATTCGGTTTTTCGACATGAAGGTGGCGTTAGAACATTTGGTTTTCGAGAGGATAAACGACATGATTGAATTTATAATTTTGAACTGAGGGGCGACATGACGAGGTGGTTGAAAATGTTTATCTATGAGCGAAGAGAGCTCGAACATTGTGATAGAAAAACAACATACATGAGTTAAAAAATTTAAAAATTCAAGACTTCGAGGAGAGGTTGAGAAAATCTATCAATGAAAGTCCAAGTAAGTGGGTCGGGAGATATTAAAAGAAAGTCGACATTGTAAAATGAGGAGCAAAGAAATCTACTCTAGGATTCAAGGTTCGACTTGAGTGTGGCGTTAGGTCATTCGGTGTTCGACCCTAGTCGCGGGTCACTCGGTTTTCGGCCTCAGTGGTCATTCGGCTTTCCGTGTTCGATTCCAGTGGCGGGTCACTTGATTTTTGACCTCAGTGGTCATTCGGCTTTCGGTGTTCGATCCCAGTAGCGGGTCACTCAATTTTCAACCTCAGTGGTTATTCAACTTTCGGTGTTCGGCCTCAGTGGCGGCTCACTCAGTTTTTGACCTCAGTGGTCATTCTATTGTTGGTTTTCGACCCCAGTGGCGGTCACTTGGTTTTCGACCTCAGTGGTCCTTCAATTTTCGACTTCAGTGGAAGGTAATTTGATTTTCAACCTCAGTGCGGTCTCTCGATGCTCATTTGGAGATTATTCGCTGGTCACTCAGGATACTTGATGACTATTTGGTGGACGAGAATTTTTATTCAAATTATAACCTCAGTGGCAGGTTAACAGAAACCGCCAGAAGGCAACTTTCACTCTTGGATCGACTTATGTCCACACGAAACCGCCAGAAGGCGAATTTCACTATTGGATCGAGTTATGTCCACTCGACCAGAGTGAGAAGACTAAATGATATGTGATATTATACTAGACGATTTTAATAGATAAATAAGAATATATTGAAAAATAAGCATGCGCATGGGCTGAGACACATAGCGTTAATATATTGACCAAACTCAATATCGTCCTAAGAACACCCACAATGCTTTGAGTCTCTTAACAAAAAATCACATGCCATGTAAGAAATAGACATAATCTATAAACAAATATTTCACAATACAATTAAAAGTGGACCTAGTCTAGCTTATGTGACAATTAAAAAAAAAAGATCAAGCCCACTCTTGGGCCTATTTTAGACTCAAGTGTGAACCTTACAAGAGTAATTATTAACTATTATTATATTTTTATTGATTGTTAGGTATTCAAGACCTAGTATATTTTTTTTCATTGAATAGATTTTGGATTTTTAGCTTGAGTTTGTACATATCATTATAAACTTAAGTTTAATTATTTGTCATATATACAAAAAGAGACCCAAAGTATTGTGGTGCTACAGTACACTCCACCATAAAATCCCATGTATCTCAAAACCTCGTCGACCGCTTTGCTCAGCACCTGACAGTAGAAAACATGAAATTTCTCCAAATTTTAAAAAAAGCCGCAGCTTCACCGGAAAACCGACGCAGGTTTGCTTCAATTCCAGCCAACGCCCGCCGTTTCTCGAATCAATCCTTCTCTCACTCTTCCAATACGTACGTCCTCTCCTTCCTCGTATTTTCACGCACAACGCACACATTTTTGAGGTTCACTAGATTCCCAAGAGTTATTTATTTATTTTATTTCCGTCTCTTTTATGTGTGTTTGATTTCCTTGCAGCTCTTCGTTCGGCATTTCTTTCGACATTGATGGAGTGATCCTTCGTGGCGAGACTCCCATAGGAGGCTCGCCGCAGGCTTTGAGAAGATTGTACGATGATTCTGGTTAAGTCTATACTTTGTTCATTCCTTTAATTCTGATTTCCGCGTTAGGCTCAAAGAGAAGACATTTAATTTGTCTGCCCACCTTTTGGTGGTGATTATTATCCTCTTGGAGAGCAGGATAAGGTCCTCTTTCATCCACTCTGTGGAGAAGTTTTTTTTTTTTTCCATTTTGGATAGGACTTATTGCTTTATGGATAATATACGTGTTTGATGAACCTCAATTTCTTTCTTTTGGCAGGTTCCTTGAGAATTCCCTATGTTTTCTTGACTAATGGTGAGTGTGGGAAGTTGTATGACGACTGTAGTAATGCTTTATGTAAATCCATGATTCATCAGTGTCTCGTTACTTGTCTAATGGGAAACACCCCATTGATCATCAGGCGGTTGTAGCATTTAAGTTTCTTCTTTAGTTAGCCCACCGAAAATACACAATTTTTGCTGTTTAGGGCTCAGTTTCCTACTTTACATTTTGCAATTTACTGATGTGGGAGGTCCTTCTTGTTGGACATTCAATGGTTCTTCTTTAATATTGTGATGCTTGCCAACTTAAAGTGCTTTCATTTAAATTACATGTTATTTTTAGCAGCAATGCGGTTTCCTAAGCATATAGAAGTGAAGGAAAACTTCTCCTATTTTTTGTTGTACATGAAGTTAGCACATGATTTATTCTGCCTGGCATGTATTTTTGCCTGCAAATATGTTGATGTCATAACTCATGTACGCTAACAGGAGGTGGTGTTCCTGAATCTAGCAAAGCAGCGGAGTTGAGCAAATTATTGAATGTCCATATTTCACCTGTCCAGGTCAAATGCAGCCTTGTATATATGTATATTGCCAACACATTCGGCTTCTGTTGTTATTGACCAGGAAAATAGCTAAATATGTGAATCGTTTTTTTCTATTTACGCTAATACATGATCACTTTGGTGTGACAAAATTGGGACGTTTACTTTTTCAGGTTATACAAGGACATTCACCTTTCAAGTCGCTAGCAAAAAGGTATTGTACAGAGACATTCTCTTTTAGATACTAAGTATTCCATTATCATTAACTACTGCTTTTCTGTTTCTAGACCCATTTTGGAGGGAACAAAACATGTAGAATCTTTAATATTCAAAGGTTTATAATTTCTAAGAAGACAAATCAACCGCCTCTGGCTGAGAAGTAGTTTTCTGTTATTGTTTTCTCTCCTTTTTTTTTTTAAATCTTTTTATGTATACTCGTTTTGAATTCTGCTAAAATATTTACGAGTTATCCAGTTAGTTTGAAATGAACATATCTCTCTTGCAAGTACCATATGGGGTTGGATGCTTCTGGCATTAACTGGTGTGTAGAATCACTAAACATCAAAGGTGCATTCTTTGAGGAAGATAAATAAATCAATGATGGGTAAATGAAACATCCTTTTACTCTGAAACTTATAGCAAATATAAATTCACATCACTAACTTACACCTTTGAGGAAAAGAAAATCATGGCTATATTATATAATATAATATAATATAATAATATATATATATATATCTATATATATATATATATTTTGTTTATCATCAGTTGAAATTAAAATTGTATTTGTGCTATCATGCTCAGCGATTGTCAATTATTTTTTAGAAGAGTAAAAGCTTTAAGCGCTGTATGGTTTAACTCCTGGATTTTTGATTTTGCCAAATGCATCAGTTTTTGCTGTGTCCTAAAATCTTCCAAGATAGCATTTTGTAGCTCAACTGTTTTGGTTATTGGCAAGATGCTTTAAGCCTTTATTTTTCTAGCTGGAAATTGCCTTTTGATGGGATATTTTATCTTTCATGCACTACCTGTTAATATATTGATACATTGATGGAAATATGTAGGGATAATTGGGTAAAAGCTATAAAAATGAAAGCAGATATACTCTTCAGTAAATCGAAATTCCTTGTCTTTGTTCGGAAGATTTGCATGTAGATATCATATGTTCTTGAACATATAGTTGGAATATATTATTGGAGTTCTTTCACGATCGGAGTAGATATCATCGTTCTGTAAATCAAGCTATTGCTTATGCTGTCTTAACTTTGCAGATTTGAAGATGAACTTGTCATCGCCGTTGGAAAAGGAGAACCTGCAATGGTGATGTCTGAATATGGTTTTAGGTATGCTGTCCGTCGTTATTATATATTTATCTGTCTTTAGATGTCTTTCTATGTGCTTTAACATGCTTCAATCTTCTTTTGTGCCATTACTAGAAATGTTCTCTCTATAGATGAATATGCATTGTATTTCGAACACATTGATCCATTGGAGAAATATAAGAATTGGGCAAAACAGCAAGCTGGTTATGACAAAAACTCTTCTGGAGAAATAGACAGGAAAAATGATCAGTGCTTTCAGCGAGTGCAAGCTGTCTTCATAGTTAGTGATTCCGTCGATTGGAGCAGGGACATTCAGGTGTTTCTCTATCTTAGTATTATCTATTTCCAAATCAGTTTTTGGTTAATAGTATCTTCATGCACATAGTAGAGTAATCAAATAAGAAACGGATATTAGACGAGAAGCAATACCTCAACCTGTCTCGTTTATGGATGTGTGATAGATGTATTTCCTTTTTGACTTATGGATGTACAGTGATCCATGGAAGTATCATTGTGCAATAAGAGTACAAGATTATGGATTAAGTTTGAAGCTAAAGAGACTCAATTTGATAAAAAATTTGATGCGGCTAGCTGTAGCTACTATGATAAGTTGATTAAATTAAAGTCTTTTTGGATATAATTTCTAAATTTTAATATGTATTAATCAAATTATAATTTTCAAAAATTACAAAATGTGGGTACCTGCATGTATGTGAAAATATTTATTTATTTATTTATTTATTTATTTATTAGAACTATATTTGAACTATGCATTTACAAACATAGCAAATAAAAGGTTGCGGAAATTACTACTCCAATGGAAGGTGATTCTCAATTGGTAAGTTGTATCTGAGGATCATAGTTATTAAACCCAGGTAGAATATCTGCCGGATTATGATTCACCAATCAGGTGGAATTGCACCACAAAATGCAATTTGGTAATTTGAGCATGTAAAGCGGTTATCAAGTTTATGAAATAATTCTGCTTTGGATATGGACCAAGTTAATGAAATTCATGATAGTAGGTAAATATGGTATATATGAATAGTGTCGATCCTCAGTCAGTTAGCCAATCAGAGAATTAAGACATCCACAGTAAATGATACTCTTTAAGTCAGTTAGCCGAATGAGTCGTCGATTGAATAATCAGGAGAAATGAGAATGGCTGGTCGGGGCAGTGAAATTCCTTCGGCGAGTTTGGGGTTAACGGCCCACTACCTCCATTTTTCCCGTCAGGTTTTTCTCAAAAGCTTGTTACTGTTTAATGAGAAACACAAAATAAAAAAAAAAATGAAATAAGCGAAAAGTTGTGAGAATTCAGTGACGAATTATTGTGAAATTAACGGAATTCTAGAATGGTGCTTTCTAGGAGGAGGTGACGGGTAAAGGCGGTGGAGAGTTTTCCCTCTTTGTTAATAAGTTTTTCTGCATTCTATTTTGTTACTCAAATATATTTTAATGTTCCCCGGCATTCGTTTTTTCATTTTCCAACCTTTTTTTTTTATTATTATTATGGCTGTCGGAGGTTGTGGTACATAAATTTTATGTATTCCAGGTTGCAATTTACAACAAAGTTTTCTTTAGGTTGCAAACAGGTTGCAAATAATTATTTGCCCTAATTTTCAATGAGAAGTTAAGAGTGTTATGTTGGTCTAGGGGTAAAGAATGTAGTTGAAGGTAAGTATTACTTAACGGACCTGCAACGAGTTCTTTAATCTTTATTTCCTATTGAAAACATGACCTTCCCGTTGGTATAAATCATGATCAGTAAAAAGAAAACTAGGAAGCAAATCAGCCAGTTTGTCCAGTTATTTCTCTTAACTATTTCTGGTTGCTAATCCCACAAGCTTGAATTTAATTGGAGCGACTTGTTCATTTAACTTTAATTCATTTGAAATTATGCTATTCTTATGAAATGTTGAATTGAGCTTGTGATTTAAGCCAGCTTGAGTCCTCAGTAGCGATAGACATTGAACATTTCAGTTTTTATTTATTTATAAGATTTTTCTGAAGGTATTAGAGGTGGAAGTGGTGAATTTACAAAATTTTTGTTCTCTTGATTATTGAATAGTACAGTCCTATGGTTGCATGTTAAATGGTCTAGTAGTAGTAAGCTACGGAGTCTGCCTCTTCTTTTCTGATTGTAGTGTGATGTAATGTCTTGGGTTGTTGTAAAATGCCATTGGAATTTGATAGAGTGAAGGGCAATAATAACAATAGATAACGAAAGAACTACCCGAAGGGTCCTCAGGCAAGATAGCCTGCCACAAACGTCAATATTCCAGAATGCCCATCTAACTCTTAGCCACTAATATATATACTAAACCCTAATATTTAATAATTAAACCCTAAAGCCCATTTAAGAGTCCACTAACTTAACTAATTATATTAACTCAATAATAAGGATAATTAGGCCTACGCCCAAGGGTCCAGTAGGAGCAGCCGCAGCCCGTTTTGGTCTTCTAGAATAAACTTTAAGAATTTGGTCTCTATCAACTCCTGCCCGGACGGAAACAGCCTTCTCCCCAAGGCTAAAATTAGGGAACTGGCCACGTACTTCCTCAGTGTCAGCCAAACCACATCATCATCCCCGTGATCCGCCCAATTTATTAGAACTTGTGGAACCATTGCCCCATTGCGCTCAATCTCTCGTCGAGCTAGCACCTTCTTCGGAATAAATAATGGGTCATCTCCCTATAATTCATCTAGGCTCAACGGAATTCGGTCCCACCGAAGCTTTTAACAGGGAAACATGAAAGACTGGATGCACCCTTGCGGTATCAGGCAGTTTCAACCGATAAGCCACTGCTCCAATACGAGCCTCAACCTCAAACGGCCCAAAAAATCGAGGTGCTAACTTAGTGTTCATGTTACGAAAAAGCGTCCGATGTTGAAAAGGACGAAAATTTCACAAATACTTTATCCCCTACTGCAAACTCCACATCCCTACATCCCTACGATGTTTATTCGCTTCACGAATCATGCGTTGTTGAGCACGTTCTAGGTGGAAACGCAAATGGCGCAAGACCTCATCCCTGCCCCGAAGATCCTCTGCTAATGATTGTGTCCTCACTACCCCTGGTATAAAACGATGAAGCATAGGAGGTGCACGACCATAAACTACCTCAAATGGAGTACCGCCTACACTTGATTGAAAACCCGTATTATAGCAGTACTCAGCCCAAGCCAACCACTTACTCCATTCTCGTGGCCTTTCGGAACTAAAACAGCGCAAATATGTCTCAAGGCAACGATTCATTACCTCGGTCCGCCCGTCCGTCTCAGGATGATATGCGGAACTCATTCTCAACTTAGTGCCTGCCAACTTAAACAACTCCTGCCAGAACGAACTTAGGAACACTGGATCTCTATGTGATACAATTGATGTAGGAATACCATGCAAACGCATCACCTCTCGGCAAAATAAATTTGCCACAGATCGGGCGGTGTAAGGGTGTCTCAATCCCAGAAAATGACCATATTTTGAATACCTATCAACAACCACCAGGATACAGTCAAGATTGCCCAAACGGGGAAGGCCCGAAATAAAGTCCAAACTAATGTCCTCCCAAACTCGATCTGGAATTGGCACGGGTTGTAGCAGGCCTGCTGGGGACTTGGTGTCGTACTTGTTTCTTTGGCAGATGTCACAGCGCCTCACAAAATCCGTCACTTGGCGCATTATTCTTGGCCAATACACGTTTGCGGCTATGCGTCGATAAGTGCGGAATGCGCCAGAACCCCCTGTTGGTGTGGAATGGAATTCTGAAATTAATTTGGTAGTCCACTCGGATCCACTAGGAATTACCAAGCGACCCTTATAGAAAAGATTCCCATGAACGAGGGAGTAATGTGGTGGTGCGAACGTGATAGATTCCAAGGCTGACACAATCTTGGATAATTTTGGATCAGACTGAATAGCCAATTTTAGTAGACTCCAATCCATCCATGTGGGCATACTAATGGTTGTTAATTCCACCTCCTCATGCCTACGTGATAGGGCGTCAGCAGCTTGATTCGAAGTTCCAGAACGATAAACTATTTCGAAATCAAAGCCTAGCAATTTGGCAACCCAATTTTGCTGGGCAGGAGTAGGCAACTGTTGCTGTAATAGATGTTTCAAGCTGCGTTGATCACTACGAATTAGAAAGCGTCGCCCCATGAGATAGGGACACCAGTGTTGGACAGCCATCACCAATGCCATCAACTCCTTCTCGTAAGAGGATTTAGCTAAGGCGCGATCAGATATACCCTTGCTAAAATAAGCCACCGGACAACCCTGTTGCATCAAAACCGCACCCAGCCCTCGTCCCAATGCATCACACTCAACGACAAACGGTAATGAAAAATCAGGCATAGCTAAAACCGGCGCAGAAGTTAGGGATTGCTTGAGTTCTTGAAAAGCCTGTTCAGCCTCAACAGACCAAACCCACTCCCGAGATGTCGTTTTCTTTAATAAAGACGTTAGAGGAGAAGCTATCTTGCCATAACTACGAATGAATCGCCGATAGTAACCTGTGAGGCCAAGAAAACCACGCAGGCTACGAAGAGAAGCCTGACGCGGCCATTGGAGCACTGCAGCGATTTTTGTTGGGTCCATCTGCACCCCATCCGACGACACCACATGGCCGAGATACTCGACGGATTTCTTTCCAAACGAACACTTCTTCGGATATATTGAAAATGAATGTTCCCAAAGGAGACCCAATACCTGTCGGAGATGGCACATATGCTCCTGCCACGTTTTGCTATACACTAGGATGTCGTCAAAGAAGACTAACACAAAGTGACGGAGATAAGGCCTGAAAATATCATTCATGATGGCCTGGAAGGTGGCGGGAGCATTAGTCAACCCAAAAGGCATCACTAAGAACTCGTAATGACCTGAATGTTTGCAAAACGCTGTTTTAGAAATATCCGCTTCAGCAACCCGTATCTGATGGTAACCGGCCCGGAGATCGAGCTTGCTAAACCACTTTGCCCCATGCAGCTCATCTAATAATTCCTGGACGATAGGGATAGGGTATTTATCTGGAACCGTGCTTGTTCAGCTCGCAGTAGTCCATACAAAACCTCCAACTGCCATCCTTTTTGCGAACCAAGAGAACAGGACTCGAGTAAGGATTGCAACTTTGGCGGATCAACCCAGCTTTCAACATATCTGCTACCAGTCGTTCAATTTCATCTTTTTGGAAATGATTGTAGCGGTATGGTCTCACTGAAATGGGTTCGGTACCCGGCTGCAGGTTAATGTGATGGTCAATGTGTCGCTCAGGAGGTAGTCCGGAAAATGATGTTAGGATCTCCGAAAATTCCGCTAAAAGGATGAATGAGGCTCGATTGACACAGGACAATGTGATGGAGATTCTGAATGATCCATCGACCATAAAAGCCATGTTTGCTCAGCGTCTGAAAATTCACGAACTGCTGTAGCTGCAGAAATAGCTTGGCGGGTGAACGAGGGATCCCCTCTCAGAAGGATGGTACGACCATCTTTAACTAATTCCATTGTTAAGTTTTTCCAATTTGCTTTCACGGAAAAACAAAGCAATCAACCATACATGTAGCAGACTGCAAATAAAGAGGAAGGGCGCGGCACAATCCCTCTGCGGAAATTCGTTGACCATTGACGAGCATCAGAGAATACGTCGGTGAAGGCTCCACATGTAATCCCAATTGATCCACAACCCTTTCCGAAATAAAACAATGACTAGCGCCACTATCCACCATAGTCAGGAGCTTGAAATTCTCAAGTCTGCTTATCAGCTTCATCGTATGGGGACCATCAAAACCCTTAGCTGCAAGGTGTGAAAGTTGTAAGGTTTGGAGAAGTGAGGGCTCAGTTGTCGGAGGGTCTGAGACCTCTTATACCAACTCAGAGACAATGGGTATCGCCGAACTGATGGTTGTGAGAAGTCCAACTCCTCACCCGCGAGCATCACGTTTAAGGAACGGGCTGGGCAAACGTGTGCCGGGCCATAGGGTTGGCTGCATCCAAAGCAAAGACCATGTTGCCGATGGGCCTGGTACTCGGAAGGTGTGAGTTGACGCACTTTACGGAACTTCTGAGATGGGATAGTGGATCTCACATTAGAGGATGACCCTTTTTGGCTGGCTCCATAACTCAGGGTGGGAGTCAAGCGAGCTTGAGGCTGTTGGAATTGTGAACTATGCTGGAGAGGTGACGAGAATCGTGGACCTTGTAATGGGCGGCTGGAACTTGAGGAGGGAGAGTACGATGAACGGCCTGTCCCTTAGCCGATGGGAAGTTTGCAAAATTCAATTCACATTCCACTTGACGAGCCAATCGAATGGCAGCATACACATTCATGGACGGGTCATCACGTATACGGATTCGGATATCCTCTCATAAACCACCTAAAAACTGACCCAAATAATGAGGGTCGGATAGATCAGTTACCTGAGCAACACAAGCTTCAATTTCACTAATATAGTCATCGACAGAGCCGGTTTGCCGCGTGATCTTCAAAGCTTCATATACATTCACAGTTGTCAGAGTACTGAAGCGAAACAGCAGTTCTTCAATGAACTGGGGCCAAGCGATAGTCGGAAAACGGCGCATTAACCCTTTAACCCAATATAATGCATCTCCGGACATGGAGACGAGCGCGATTGGAACTTTTTCCGGCAGGTGAACCAAAAAAAAATTGCTCAGCCCTGGCTATCCAAGCAGTTGGGTCAGATCCATCAAATGAGGGAAGGTCGATTTTTGGTGGCCCAGACAATGTAGTGGTATGGGTAGTGGTCTGGGATGTGTCCGCCTCATGGGAGGCCCTAGAATCGGATGTTTTCTCCTTCTCCTTCATAATGACAGCGAACATAGCCTCGATAGTAGAAAATTTTGTACATACCTCGTCAAGGCCCTTCTCCATCATCTCCAAACGGTGCTCCATCTTCTCGAAACGGGCGTCCATCCTTGTCTGCATACAAGGTCCCGGCAGGTCGGACCAATTTGATAGAGTGAAGGGCAATAATAACAATAGATAACGAATGAACTACCCGAAGGGTCCTTAGGCAAGATAGCCTGCCACAAACGTCAATATTTCAGAATGCCCATCTAACTCTTAGCCACTAATATATATACTAAACCCTAATAATTAATAATTAAACCCTAAAGCCTATTTAAGAGCCCACTAACTTAACTCATTATATTAACTCAATAATGAGGATAATTAGGCCTACACCCTAGGGTCCAGTAGGAGCAGCCGCAGCCCGTTTCGGCCTTCTAGAATAAACTTTAAGAAATTGGTCTCTATCAGAATTCCATAATGTACAGCTGACAGAAACAAATTTCAGGTATTGTGTGACGTCTTGAGCACTGGAGGTCTTCCCGGAAGAGAGATTGCAAGACAACCCCAATTGTACTTCGCAAATGACGACCTTTCCTATCAAGTGAGTATGAATTTTCATTCTCAGAGCGGCTGGTGTTATTTTAATCTCAAGTTATCTGTTCTCTAAACTTTTACTAATCAAGTTTAACCAAAGGTAGGGTCTGTTTCCCACTGAACGCCTTGGCATGGGTGCTTTCAGAATTGCATTAGAATCTATCTACAATAGGTAATGACTCTTTCCAACTAATAAGTTCTCAAATAAGAAAAAGGAAAATAAACAACGGACATCTCTGGTCATATTTGAAATATGCTAATAAGAGGTCCTGAACTACAGTAACAGAAAAAAGCATCTTTTTTACTGCTATGCTAACAAGATGTGTTTTTTGACATGTTTTTCCCAGCATTTATCCAAACGCTCTGGATTACACATCTTTTGGAAAACCGAACCCTTCCGTATTCAGGAATGCTGAAAATGTGCTGATGCAAGTAGTCCATTCACACATAAGGCCCCCAGTTGATGGAGAATATCCTTTCAAAACCTTGTACATGATAGGGGATAATCCGTCGGTTGACGTAAGAGGGGCTCAGCAGGTTTGTACTCAGCAAACAATTTTTTTTTCTTTTTATTTTTGCTATTTAACCCACTTTTTAATTGCTGTAGTAACAAAACATGAAACGAGCTTTTTCAATTTCGTGGCTGCAGGCAGGACAACCTTGGTTCTCGATCTTGACCAGGTCTGGGGTTTTTAAAGGGAGGGATAATCACCCATTGCATCCGGCAGATCTGGTAAATATATTTTGATTGTATTTGTTAAATGGAATCTTTGAAGCTATGAAGTGTTTGGTATCTATTTTCTTTCCTAAATGTGATCAATTACTTGATCTCTAAAATAATTATATTTTGTCACATACAGGTTGTTGATACTGTCGAAGAGGCGGTGGATTTCATTTTGAGGAAGGAGGCATTTCAAACTGATTTTACTAATAAGTTCAAGCACCATTAAATCTTTTATATGAACTTGTTCAAGCACCATTAAATCTTTTATATGAACTCTGGCCTTATGAAGATCTGTCTATCCTAATTGCAGGGTGGGTATGGTTGAATTCAAGGGGGTCGATATTGGATTCATATTGGTTGGCTTAGGAATCTTTGCACTTATCATTTGAGAATTTGAAATTTAACCATCAACGCGCGGGATCACTTTGATTTGATTTTAATACTAGCTGCTTGAGAACTTTTATTTTTTGGATTGCTCCTCCCCATAGGCATATAAGTTAATGAAATATCATTTGCTTTCAATTTCCTGAAAGATGAGCCAAGAGAACTGAGTATTTTGTTGCCTATAGAAATACGTGCAGCATTCTTTTTCTGTTTGCATGTGGTAGGATTGCAATTTGATCCCGAGAAATTCTACATAGACAAACAGGATGATCACTTTGACATAATACACAAGGGACACAATCATATTAGTTTATATATGTCAGTATCACTTTCAACAGTTAACCACCACTAAACTCCTATGTCATTTTGCCTCACATCTTTTTATGAAGTTGTGTGTGTGCGCATGGTCTTCTCTGATCGATCATCAAGGTGTGCGTGTGCATGGACAAGAGGAGAAGGGGTCATGCATTTCTATTGCTTTTGTTTTGTTTGTTTAAAGTCGTGTTTCTTTTGTTTCCCGTTTTAATTAGTTGAACGTCGCGTTTTTTATTGTTTTTAATTGTGCGAATATTAGACCTAAACGATGTCGTTTTAGGTGGTATGTTTTCATTTGAATTAGACCTAAGCGATGTCGTTTTAGGTCGTGTGTTTTCATTTGCTTTAGAGCGGGGCTTTAAATGCAATTTGCGGCATTCAGGTGTAACTGAATTCATATGAAATGAAAACAGATTTTTGATATTTTCTTCTTCACGTTTTCTTCATCTTCATGTCAATTTTTTCACTCAAAATAGCACTCCTTTATTGCAGCCAAGATTGATTTATCTCTTATTGATCCAAGAGATCAATCAAATTGTAGGCTTTGAGCTAGTATGTTATTAGAAACATAAAAGATTGAGATGAGTTTGCAGTAAGCGGAGAGACGTGATATTGTTTTAAAATTTAATACGCTAGCTAGTTTATGGATGCAAAGAGTCAAATGGAGCAAAATGTAGACAAGTTTCACTTGTTTGTGTTTTGGATGTGCTAGATAAGCTCAGTAAAAGGTTTCCTAATTGAACTTAAGGGTAGTTCATCTAAAATATATCAAGTTTACGTTAGAATTTGACTAATCAAAACAACTCATTTTATACATCCTTCGAGGTTTAACACAATAATGCGAATGAGGACTGACTCCTCAAGAATGCTTATGACTGAGCCCGACGTGCTTGTATCAAGGAGGCGGGGCAACCATCCGCTGGAGAGAAGTCGAGGTGGCCAACTGAGGCACAATTGCAGCAACAACTGGTGCATAATCGGGCGGCGCAGCAGTCGATGCACAATCGGGCGCACAATGAGACCTTACCATCCCCAAACAGGAACAAATACTTTTAAAGCGTGGGCACGACTTATATGCGGCAGGGACCAAGTAGCAATATTGATATCTATTAGCTTTGCTTTTATTAATTTATTATTCCTTAGGACTTGCATGCAATTTTCAATGTTGTTGTTGTTGTTTCTATAAATTGTGTCAAAAGTTTTTGGCTTGGGACATAATAAATAAAATACCAAAATAGCTAGTTTTCTAGCAAAAACCCTAGCATATAACTGACGACCCCCAGTGCTGGTTATTGCAAATTAATTGTTCGATACACGATCTTCATCATTGGTGCTTTTATTGAGAGAATCGATTTTATATCACCATATCAAACAGAGAACAAATCGATAGTTTGGAGGATAACATGAATTCCATCAACAAGGACGTACAATCCACGAACAAAGTAGTTGCGAGGATCAAGGGGATGATGATCCAAGCGTTCACCAAGTGATCGCAAAGGAGTTACTTTGAGTTGTCGTCGGACGGGTCCTTGGGTTCAGACAAAGAAGATGACTTTTACAACGAATTCGCGGGCGACGAGGTTAATCGGTCGAGGAGTTCGAACCAACAAGAGAAACGCAAGAGCGAGAGGCCCAAGGTGACCCTGCCGACTTTCAATGGAACAAACCCCAATTCATGGCTGAAGGCTGAAGGCAATTACCTTTGACAGAGAAGCAAATGTTTGGTGGTGGTGGTTATCGAGAGCTTACAAGAAGAAAAACACCACGATCCATGGAGGCACTTCGAAAAGGAATTGATTACAAGGTTTGGCGCATCGGACTACAATGATTATGACGAGGCCCTATAGCATATCAAACAAGTCGGGAGTTTGCGTGAATACCAGAAGAAGTTCGAATGGATAGCAATTCGCTCGCATGCGTGACGATCACTTGGCCGCTGTGAAGAAGGACACTCGTCTAGACACGCGGTGCCCATGATAATTTCCTAAAGAATTTTGCAAAACTAGGGAAGGACTGTTTGCGGCATGTGCGAGGTTGAACCCACAGAGGTTAAACGACTGACTTGGGACGTGATTCGAAGGCGACAGGAGAAAGTTCTATGTTTCAACTACGACGAGAAATTTGTCAACACAAGGATGACCTTGGAGATTTTGGGCCATGCGATGGTGCGATGGTAGCGACCCACGGACCAAAGACAATGAAGTTGTCACCATGAGTACGGGACTGACGAGTGGTGGTGCTAGTCGACAATGACTCGTCCCAAAAGTTCATTAATTCATCTTTGTCCAATAAACTAAATCTACCGGTGATTGACGTAGAGCCATTTGACGTTAGATTCGCTAATAGAGAACGTCCCAAAAGTTCATTAAATTACTGGTGCTCTCTCTCTCTCTCTCTCTCTCTAAAAAAAAACCCTTCTGTCGAAAGAAGAAAAAACACACAAAACCGTCGTCGGCCTCACTGCCCCCATTTTCTCCATGCTCCTCACCTCTCTTAGCCGGTCTACCCCTCGACTTAAGCTTTTTTGGCTTGGATTCGAGGGTCTCTGATCTCATTTTACTCCTTGTGTGTAGGGGTATGGATTCAGAGTCTCTTGACTTGTTGAATGGGATGAATGTAGTTCGAGACAGTCCCAAAGTTGTGGTGGTTCCAGCAATTCTCAAGTTTGTCTAGCCGATTGAGTTATTTTGGAGTTCTCATATTTTGGTGGCTTGATTTCGATCTCGTGCGACTAAGGTTGTTTTCTAATTTGTTTAATGTGGTAGGAGACAAAGGCTTTAATCTATTTACGAGTTGTTTTTGTGTTTGTTTTGTGTTTTCTTGTGTTTAACTTTGTGTTAGTATTCTTCATTATTGTAGTATTTGATTCTCCTGCATCTGTGTTAAGAGGTTTTTGTTTAGTTTGTGTACGGTTCTAGGCTATCGTTGTGTAGACCTCTCTTGATTCAACTAATTTAGCTAATTGGTTGGGCTATTTTTAAATGTTTTCTAATCTATATTTACCTTGTTTATTAATACAAGTATATCGTTTAAAAAAACATATATTAATTCCGCAAAAATGCAAAAAATAAAAATAAAAATAAATAAATAATTGCATCAGCTAAGCACGTGGATAGCACGAGAAGGGTCGCGTAGCTGCCCTCCTATATTCCCGCCTCAACAATTGAGCTAACAATTCAAAATTCAAAACTAGAGGGGACACGGAAAATAAATAATATACGGCCAAACGATTAACATAAACCGGAAATGTTCTCCTACCCACGGTGGGCACATGTTACTATGCCCACTGCTCATGTGACATGCACACATTAGTGATGTTAATATATTAAAAAAAATACATCATCAATGTATGCATGCCACATAAGCAGTGTGTGCCGGGAGCATTTGGCTAGCATAGACACACATTCTCTCTCTCTAGAGCTCATCCTCTCAAATCCTGTGTTTACAGAATGCAGAGACAAGCAAGTACCACCCGCGCGTCAGAGTTACCGCCGACGTCGATCTTATCTCTCTCACAGTCCCCCAGAAGAAAGACGGAGGGACGCACCGACCTTCCATTGTACACACCCAAGAAGGAAGTTTGGCCCCCAAAATGGCGCCACAATTGGGTTCATCTTATCCCTCTTTTGGTGCTTCGCTGCCTATTCATCTTGTGGCTGTGTTCTCCTCCAGTTATCATATCCCACTTCACGATATCAGGGGAAAGAATGATAAAGAAAATGTTAATTAATTCAGGTATTCGTTTTCTTGTTCTTCTTCTCTTTTTGATTTTACCTTGAAATTGAGTGGTGATGTAGGGTTTTGTGTGTGTTTATTTGGGGAAGTTTGATAATGGAAATAAGGACCAAGGCCAAGGGTTTCCGTTTCCTCATTAGAATTGCATCTTTTGTTTCATCCTTTAATTGGAACTACTACAATCTTCGTTATTAAGCTTTAGGTGAAATGCGGAACAATTCAGTCACTGTAGATGGAGTCCTGATTTAAAACTGATAAGAAAAATGTTAATTACTTCAGGTATTCGTTTTCTTGTTCTTGTTCTTTTTTTTTTCCTTGAAATTTAGTGGCCATGTAGGTTTTTGTGTGTGTTTCTTTGGGGAGTTTGATGATAGAAATAAGGACCAAGGCCAAGGGTTTCCATTTTCTCATTAGAATTGCATTTTTTATTTCGTCATTTATTTGGAACTACAATCTTCTTTATTAAGCTTTAGTTTAAGCTTTAGGTGAAATACAGAACAAATGGGTCACTATAGATGGAGTCGTGATGATATTTCAAGCATGGAAGACTGTTTCTATCCCATTAGTGTTATTTCAGTCGAGTAGGTAGTTTGGTTGGATGTCTAATTTGTGATTTGAAAGGCTCTTGCTCACAAAAATGAATGAGGAATCAAAAGTTAAGAGGGAAAGATTAAGAACATATATGAATGTTATAACTTATAAATGTGTATACTGCAGAAGTGAATTTGCTGTTCCGAAACTTCTTTTTGGTTCCTTTTTCTTTTCTGGCTCATATGTGCTGGTTAAGTTATGGTGGTTCATGAATGAATGCACATATCTGGAGTGTTTTTCAGGTTTGAGTTTTTCTATTTCACTTGTTAAATACTCAACCACTAAGGGTTTTTAATTTCTATTCCAAATGACAAAAACTTCACTATGAAGTACACTTGAAAATGTAATCCTACATTAAAAATCTTCTGCCTAAATTGAATGGGATAAACTAGTTACACCATATGGAATTTCAGTTATAGCTTTTCCCCTTCTTAGATAATGTCATACTAGTTTTCTTGTTTGGTTATAGCTGCTTGTTGAGCCACGTGTCTAATATATATTTGGAATGGTTCTTATGTGGACAGCAAAAAGACAAAAATAAAGAATTGAAAGAAAGAAAAAGAGGAACATAAGTCTTTCCTTATAATTAGCCAAAAGACTGCAGAAACCTTGATACTCTTCTGAATTTGAATCCTTTTATTTTTTTAACCTATCTGAACAGTGAACTTGGATATGATGAGTGGAGCTCGAGCTGCTTACTGAGTGGTGATGCAGGATACACTCATGGAGTCAATCTTTCAGCCTTACCCTTCAGTTTCTGAAATGCAGATGATCGACAATGACGGTACAGCTAAGTGAGCAAAAATGAAATGAAAAAGCTGAATAGATGTGCATGAGACAACCTTTAAACGGTGTGAAGTTTCTAACAATGCTGATCTCTTATGTTAGGGAAGATAAATAATAATGATGTATTAGGACTATACACTGTTCCTACTCTCAATGTCTTGTGGATCAACCACAGACATCCTCTTTAAGTACAATTAGAAATGATGTTACAACTAAACCAAGAAAGGATATAATGGAAAAAATGTGTAGATACATCATTGTCAATGCTGCATTTAGTGAAATATTTGGATCAAGAATCCTTTGCTTGTTTTAGGTTTCTAAATTTGTCGATTCTTGTGCGACAAGAAAGAGGATAGAAGTACAAAGCTTTTCCCCTGCTTTATAATGCCTTGTGGTCCAACATAGAACACTTGAATGTAAGTACATCTGAAGTGTCTTACTGTGTTACATTTACAAACGTAAAGAGACTAAAAAATCTAATGCCAAAACTTACAACTGCGTTCATCCTTTGTGGAAACGTCGCTGTTGTTATCTGTGGTTAAAAGGTAAAACAACATTTTCTTTACCTTGCCCCTGCTTATGTGTTGCAAATCAGTTCAGTTTCTAAAAAAAAGTTCAGTTTTTTCCATTTTCAAGCCGTCCCCCAATAGGTCTGGAGACAGACGAAGGACCTTAACAAAACAAAACAAGTTTCTCCTAACTCTGCAATTCACTTATCTCACCAGCTCTGCAATTTCCCACCCATAAGTACATAACTGTATCCCTGTTTGATGGCAAAACTCTACAGCAGTCCCTCCTAGCCGCCTGTACTTCATGAATAAATATCTTGGTCAGTTTCTACAAAATATACCCCATTTTTTACAAAATATACCCCATTTTTCAGTAAACACTAATAAAAGAAAAACAATTTTCTGGCTTTAAAGGAGAAAATAAGTGTTGCATCCCCTACTAAAAAACCATTTTTTTTTTCCTTTTTTTTTATTTTTTTAAAAAAAAGAAGAAAACTAGGAACATACCCTCTCCCACCGGCTGTTATCAGACCTTTTCAAGACAACAATAGAGTTGAGTTTTTCCGGCGAACTACTTTTCCACCGGCAGTAAGGTTGCGCCTCCTTGTGACGGGAGTAAACCCCAATTATCTGTTTCCTCTTTTCGTCATACTTGACCGATTTCAGGTAGAACAAAAAGGGCTTCTGGCAAGGGTGCTTGGCCACGGGCCTTGTGTTGAACGCGTAAGCCGTGTAGTCAGCCCGTTTGTACCAATTGAGAAATGTTCGAGTCGGCATTTCCAGCTCCCTCGGAGATATCACTCCACGCATCACCTGGACCACATAGCCCCATGACAAGGAAATCGACCAATACCTATTCTTGTCATAGCAGAAAGACTGCTGGATAATGCTGCCCGAGTCATGCGCCACTGACTCAAATAGCCGTCTAATCCCGTTGACTCGGCTCAGGCCTGGGAATATCGGGTCCACCACATCAAGATGGTGGAGCGAGACGAGTGGGGTCACTGGGTGGGCCCCCAGAAGTCCTAGCAGGTTCCCGTACACGTCGTACTGCATTTGAGAAACCGGATTTTAGGAATCTTTTTTGCATTGGCTAGAAAAAAAAGGGTCAGTAGTAGGTAGGTTTCAGGTGTCAGATATCACCATCTTTTTTTGGATCATGATTTTAATACACACAGCAATTGATCAATTTTAGCATTCTAATTGTAAAGACTAGTACCATCTTTTGATTCTTAACTATATTCTTAATATAACTGCATGCATGGTACCAACTGCAAGCAAAATAATCAATACAACATATGGTGGTAGCATTGTAACCAAAAACTGTGACACAATTTTAAATTTATCATATTTCATATTTGTTTCATTCATCTTGTAACTCAGATATAGATATGCAGGACGAGAGGTCAGACCTGATGAAATCCCATTTCCTTGGTGAGAGGAACCCCGAGCTCGGCCATGCACGCCTGTATCCTATCATCACTTCCATAAAGAGCCGGGTACCTCTGTATACACCTGTCTTGCATCTTCTGTAGCTCCTTAGCCAGCGGGTAGCTAATTGCGAATCCACCCCCTCCATACGCCATGGTGTATGAAAAGAGTATGTTCTGTATGTGGCTCTCGGACGAGCTCCCGATATAATAATACTGCCTGTGATCATATTTAGAGATTACCCTCACAAGATTGTCGACAATGAAGACAGTGTCGTCGTCCCCCATGACGAACCATCGGACGTCTTCCATTCCCATGCGCAGCGTCTCGGAAACGATTCTCGAGATGCGGAGAGCCGAGCGCTTTCCCTGCTTGTTTGTGTAGTCGAATCTCGACGTGTCACCCGAGATGCGTGTCTCGGGAAGGATGTGTCTCTCGTGTGGGGAGATTTCGACTCGTTTGTCGAGCCACACGACTCCACGAGTCTTGTTTGGCTGCCACCACAGCTTGATGTATTCCTTGCGGTTTTCCCAGAGGCTGGACGAGGCTGCGATGCCGAATACGATGTGGTTTAGGTGGGTGGGGTCGAGTGGCTGTGACTGTAAGTTTAAGTGTGAGGAAGAATTTTGTTGTTGGTTGGAGGTGTTGAAGGGCGAGCAGTCGGAGGGGGAGGAGTTGCGGTTGAGGATGATGAGTTTGGAGGTGTAGAGAGAGTAGAGAATGATAGTGGTGATGAAGAAGGTGGCAATGGAGATTCGGAGGCTGCTGAGGCCGCGGTGGGAAGAAGGGTGGTTCATTTGGATGGTTGTTTGTAGGGAGAGAATGGTAGTGGTGGCAATGGCATCAAGAGTGGGAGGCGGGGTTGGCTCTGGGCTTGTCACTATTTTGCCAAGGAAACTAAAAAGCAAGGTCAAGATGAATTGGGATTTTTTGTATAGTTACAGTTGCATCAGTTTGTTATTTCATGTGATACGCTAAAAGAACTGCCATTCATTTTTGCTACAATGAGGTGATATGAATAAGAAAATTAATTTGTTAATAGTTGCTGTAAGAAATTCGGTTAAAGAATTTATAAGAAAATATCAAACGAACGAAAAGAAGTTTGTAGCTGTAGAAATCATCTGATACATAATTTATGTTTTAATTTTAATGTGATTTTAAGTTATATTTTTTATTTTACATTTTTATAATGTATTTATTTTTTAGCATTATTATTTTCTATTAATCAAACAAAAGAATGACATCTAATCTTGATATACAACATATAAGCTATGATCCCTTTTTTTTCTCTCTAAAATTTTTTCTCCAACTCGTAAAGCCCTAAAAAAACCTCCGATCAATTCGCTGCCGCCTCCCTTTCGTAGGCGCTGGCCTGTCACGGCGCCGACTTCACTGGGGGGCCTGTGAGTCTCTTTCCCGGATGTCCCCTGCAAACCGGCGAGGCGCTTCTCCGAATCCTGGTGGCCTTGGTGGTGCTGTTGCGGGGTTTCGACGTCGGGTGGGTGATGGTCACCGTTGTTGTGTCACTTCCGTGGGGCGGCTGACGGTTGAGTTCGTGATAGTGTATGCTCCATGAGCTATCTCGTCTCCTGGTGCTGTGGCAGGTGGTCTGACGGTGGGGGCTTTCGGTTGCCGGTGGTGGGCAACCGACGACTCCCTGCCAGTTTGGTGATGGGGGGTCTCTCTGACTGGAACTCGCGTTGGGACTCGGAGTGTTTCCAGCAGGAGGAGGTTCGGCTTGTGTGTTCGGGTTTAGTTAGGCCTCGATTGCAGTTTCTAGATCTGGATTGAGTCGTGTTTCTATATTCCTGTCGGGACCATTCGAGCGTATGGCTCGGTTGTCTGATGCGGATGTGAAGGGCTTTCATTGTTACCTTATTTTCTTTCGTATTTTGTTTGTGCATGTTGTTTAGTGTTTGTGGTTATTTTGTGTTTTAGTTGTTGTGTTGTTGTCTTGTTTCCTGTTTGGGAGCATGTTTATTCTCCTGTTAGGAGCATGTTATTCTCCTATTAGGAGCTGTATAGTCTTTTGGGTTGTGGATGCATTAGTGTAGTTGCTTTTAGGCTATCTCCGTGTAGGCTTCCTGGATTCAGCTGGTTGGCTACTTGGCTATTCTGACTGTTGTCTAGCTGTATTTACGTGGTTTCTAGTTTTTATATAACTACTAAAGTGCACGTGCGATGCACGTGGTATCGAATGATTTTTGTTGAGTAAGTTTGTAAAATAAATTAATTTATTTATTAAACATATCATTGCAGGAATGAAATAAAATATAGAACAAATGAATTCATATGTGATTTTTTTAATTTATAATTAGCGTAATGATGTCCTAATATAAAAAGAGTGAAATAACGTTTTACAACTCTCAACTAAAATATATAAAAAACAAATCCTTAATATAAAAACTACTAAGATTTTCTTTCATCTTTCTTATAAGAAACATTCATACTCGCGGGAATCTAATACATCAATACTATTGCAAAATTTCTCTTAATTCATTTGGCAAAACGCTAATTTTATTCAAACATTTAAGAAACATTCTAACCCAACATATAGTCAAACTTCATGATCGTATAATCTTTATAATAAGGTACTGCTACTAACAATGCATAAATATCTCTATAAAATAACTAATTGTGTCATTAAAATTGCTGGTATTATTTTATCATTGTATAAACTACTACATTCCTTTGTCTCTTGACATATTGGTGCCTACCCCATTGATGCATCGGCCCACGAGGTGGAATGAATTTTATCCCCAAATAAAAGTTGACTTTCCAAAATTTTGGTTACATGTACTTCTCCCGAGGTGCTAAATTATTTTTTGAAATCATCATACATTACCTGAAAGTACCTCTAAAGTAATTGCACATATGTTCGAGTACAATATACCAATGAGATTGTAAATATTTCTATAAAAAGTGACAACTTCATTCGAACATTCAAAATTGTTTTGATGCTCCGACATTGTTATTTATTTGAAATATAGACGAACAATATAATCTATTATTTGAAAATTATTGACCATCATGTGATTGTTGGAATGATTTTAGAATTGTTTATCATAATATCTTTCACATTCGTTTGAATATGCAATATTTGTGTGCCTAATAGCTTCTTTAACGCTTTTATTGTCCAACATTATTCATCATACAAAATGATTATAAAATTCAAGATAAAGATAATTTCTTTATTCTCCAACAATGACAAAACAAAACAATCAAAACAATGAGAAAATATTGAGAAACATATCATTTGTTAAAATATTTGATAGGAGAAGAGTTAGAATTCTATTATATTACGATACTCTTAGTCATCTGCAAAGTTTATTATTATTGAGTCATGATTAAAATATACATTATGTATTACATTTTTTTTATTTTTTAATTATTTAAAATTAAAATTAAATAATATAGGATCACTATTTATAAAAACCAATTTCTTACAGAGTCCCTATATTTAAACGGTAGCAGCAAAAAAGTAGTAATTTTCAAAGACTTTTTGTTCGTAAATATTGGTATTCATACTTCTCTAAGAAAATTCACACGTATTTTTTTTCTCAGTGTGTTACTATTATATTATTTGTTTCTTATTCTATAGATAAATAATATTTTATTTGCTAAATAATTAAAGCACATTTATATGTACTGCGTTATTTTTTGTATGTGTTTTATATAATGATGTTTTCAAATTATCTTTTTTATTAGGCTGCAACTACTATAATCACATAAGATATAATGTAAATTTAATATATTTGATAAAAATGTACTTTTTATACGAATTATTAGATTAAAAAATTTACAATTTTTTTCAATGTTTGATAAAATATTAGGCAACTAAGTCATTTTCATAATCACTAAATACATATATGGTACCACCTTTATAGGGTTCTTTTTCAAGCAGTAATTGAGTAATAGTTTAACGTACAACTCATTTATTTGTCTTTTTAATTCACATAGCTAATGTTATCTCATTTCCCTTATCTGGCCTAGTCCTTTCCTTCTTTTATCTATGATTTCACTTCGCTTTGCTTCGTTTGTACCTAAGGTGCATTCGCCATAGTTTCAGCATTACGGCAAACCAGTGTCAAATATATATCGGGAATGGGCGCTCTAGCCAAAATATGGGAATAGTTGTAAGTTTACCTCCATTTTTTTTTATGTTATTTTTAATATGAATTGTTTCAAATCTATGTAAGAAAAATGTAAGAAAAATATACCACAAGTTTATCTTATGTTATTTTATACTTAATAAAATTGATTTAACTTGAATAAATAAATTAATATATACTATAATTCTAGGTCAATTTATTATTTTAAAATTATTACTGATATATATATATATATCGATATAAATAATTATATTATTTTTATTTTATTTGCAATATATTGGTCAACTCAAACATTATTGAAAAGAAATAATGTGATATATTACATATAAAAAGAGTCACAAATAAAAAATATGAAGTATCTCAAAATTAAAAAATTTAATGAGAGAAAGTAATTAAATTTTTAACAAAAAAATTTTAAGATTAACATACCCAATTTTAAAGAAATGTGTACCTAAAAGTTCTAGTTAAAATATATGTGTATCTTAAGTATGTTTTATATTTCTCATTAGCCAGCTCCAATTGATATTGTACATTATGTAATTTTATCAGTATTAATATTCTTTGATTTAATGAGAGCTATAAGTTTTCTCATCATTCTTACCCCTTATTTAATTATTATAATACTAATAAAATAATTAAGGACCTTTCAAAGTATCTTGTTTGTTTTGAAACAAAAATTACTTATTATCACAAATTAAACGACAATTACATTGAATGTGTTATATTTTCTATCATATAAAAATTTTCATAATAATAGTTGCACATAATATTATCTAATAATGCAATTTTTTTTTATAGATTTGGAGTCCTACTTTTACTACATGAAAATGAGAAAATTCCAACGAAAATTAGAACAAGAATATAACGATCTTCTTAAGTTGAATTGAGAAAAATAATGTCTTTTGGTTTCTTAAATATATTTTATCTTATTGTGACTGTATTGATTTATTAAAATGTATTACAAAATGAGAAAGGTGATAGATTAATTTATAAATTACAATGACATGTTATTTTGATGCTATATTTTTTCTATTAACTAAATAATGCCCCCAATATGAAATTATTTTAGATCTATCACTGCAAGTAGCTTTCCAATGGAATTTCCATTGAATTTTTTCACAATTTTAATGACAGTCTTTCCAACAATTTGAATAAGGTCAAAAAAAAAATCCAATGGAAATTCAAGTAATTGAAATCTTTAAATCCACTAAAGTTCAAGTAATTTAATTTGAACTTTGTTGGAATAACCAATGAAATTTTTCAATGAAAGCAATATTTATGAAATATTAGTTGGAATTTTCTGTAGATTACCTTACCATTGATTTTTTCATTGCAATATAGCAATTTGTTGTAGTCCTCTTAAACATTAATTTTTTATGTAGTATTTATTGATTAATTGTGTTTACAATTTTTCTATTAAAAATATATTAAACACATGAACTTTTTAGTTCCTATATTTTTTTTTTTAGAAATTACTCATTATTTTATCTCAAGATTACCTATTAATTTACCAATCGAGTTACATTTCTTATATATTAAATATTTAAAAATTAGAATATTTCCTATTTTATATGTTCAATATGATATTTATATATTATATTAAAAAAAACTAATATAGAAAATAAAAAGTTATTTAAAATTAGAATAATAAAGATTTTTTTTTGGTAACTTGCATGGATAAATGTAGGTACAAATAACTATTGTCCATCACATCAAATTTACACATAAAATTATAAGGAG